TTAATGAGCTGTTGGTTTTAAGTAACTGAGCAATAAAGTTGGATAGCACAGTATTAATGTCTGAGAATAAGCTGCTTTAAAGTCAGCATCAACCATAAACTAAATCTGCCATAATGCATACTAGCTAGTCACTAGAAACTCATCAGTGAGTAAAACTTTATTAGTTTTACTTTTAATAATTTTTCTGTATTTATTTCAAATTTAGTCAGTCATACTCTTAGTTCCTATCAGTGTTTAAAAGAGGACATGTTAAAACACTGTTTAGTCAAAGATGAAACGTCAAAGTTCATTACAACTGGCCCTTCGAGGGCCACCACGACGCTCATGAAAATGAGTTTGACACCCCTGTACTAAAGTGATGATAAATTGAGGCCTTAGTGCCTGAAACTTCAGCTTACAATTTTTTTTAAGTTTAATCAAACTTGTAAATATCAAAAATATCAAAGTTATAGACCTAAACTAAAAAGAACAGTAGAAAACAATAGAACAGAAAAATAAAAACAGAAAATCTGAGCCACAGAGGAAACCTGGAGTATCCAAGCTGCTTGCAGGCAGAGAGTCCCAGAACGTTGTTCCAGTTGTCTGCACAGACCGTCCTCCATTCTCCTCGACTCTGAAGCTGTAGGACCGAGTTCCTGCCACTCAGACGTACTGATACACAAATGAAAACAGATAGCAATAGTAAACAGCAACATGTTGATGTTGAAAAGTTTGGTACTTCGTATGTCAGACAGGCTTAGTAAACTAGAAAAAGGTTTGTGAGTTGTGTGGTCCACAGATGAATTAGTTTTACATTGTTGACAATGCCTGAAACATCCCACCAAAACCAAAGATATTAAATTGACCCATCTAAATTTTAACTTCAAAATTCTRGAAATACAGTGTCAGTTCAAATTAGAAGACCTGTCTGCAGAAAGGTTTTGTACTGCAGGAAGAAAAAAAAATCTCTTAGAAATCTAGACCTCTGTGCAGTTGGTCAATGCATCTTACCACAGCCGAGCTCATCCTCTTGATTTTCACAGTGCACCTTTCCATCACATCGAGCTGAGGAGCTGAYGCACAGAGATGAAGAACCACAACGAAACTTTCCCACACAGCTCAGACCCACTGGAGATGAAGAGGAGACCAGAAAGTAGTGTGACTTTAAAACTGACACTCAGCAAAAATTATTTAAAAGCAAATGAGGCATGAAGATAGTTAAAAAGACAGCTGTATTAACCTTGCTTCAGGATGATGCRTGTTCGCTTTCAAACTTTGCGCTACGGAGTAAAGTTTGAAAGAGCACATGCTCTATTCTTGCTTTCTTACATGTTAGGATCATAGTAGTTCCTTCTGTGGGCCTGGACCTGGATTACTCATTTAACTGTTTGTCCACTCAGCCACCAAGGTTAGTCTAGAGCAGAGGAGCCCAAAGTGGGGCCCGCGGGCCAAATTTGGCCC